ATTGTAATATTTATAAATATAATGCATTTATTTTAACAAACAATCAAGTTCCTGGGTTCACCGTTAAAATCCATATGGGTTTACACCTGTATTTCATAATATTTCACTAGTTTAATTAAATATATTTTATTATTAATATGTTTATACTTTAAGTGCGAAATGTGCATGTGCAAATTTTAAATTAATTGTCTATTTCTGTGATAAAACTTCCTCTAAAAGAGTGAAACAAATGTCAAAACTTTTAGTCAACCTTTTTATGATCAAAACTCGTCTCATTGTCAACACATATACGGTAACAACACTTCCGTTGTATTATGTGATCCAAAAGCCGTGGAAGACGTTGGCGGAGGCCAAGAAGCTTAGGACCAAAACACATGAGACAATCAATGGTGAAGTGGTGTGGAGTCGCAACAACCCATCGCTCAGTCATGCCTTCCTTCAGTACAACACTTATCCGGAAGTGTTGAAGAACTTGAAGAATATGTATGACTCGAATCGGCTTATGTTAGGCAAGAGGGACGTCATCGAAGATACCATAGAGAAAGATAGCAATGGTATTGCATTTCATGTAAATATTGATTTTAAATGAGTGATAATAAAGAATATTTATTTATTTAAATTAAGGAAATATTATCACAATTGACGGCAAAGTATTGCGAAAGTTTGTGTTAAGCGATAGCTATAAGTGGTTGACATTGAATGAAGTCATTGAAAGAGTGGATAACATCGCCAAAGGATTGATAGAAATCGGTGTTAAAAAAGGCGATAAAGTGATCATTTGGGCGGACACTCGACTCGAGTGGACTTTATGTAGTTTAGCGCTCATGAAAGTGAACGCCACTTTGGTCACACTTTTCTCTACTTTAGGTAATTGTTACCAGGATCATTTAAAGTAATCACACCTTTTACACAGTTTAACGCTATATTTACTTATTTCTTAATGAATTAAAGGGGAATCTGGTCTCATATATGGTATAAACCAAACTGAAGCCAAAACCATAATAACGACATTTGATTTATTGCCTAAATTGAAGGGTTTCTTGCATGAAGTGCCGAGTCTTAAGTCAATTGTTTA